CACACTGTGATGCATGTATATTAAATGTTTGTAATCTGTTAAGTCAGTCAGCCTTCTGGATTATGATTATGCCTGGCTGCCCCATTTAAAGGCACAGTTCATCCAAAAATGAAAACTCTTTCAGCTGTCAGTTTCCATGAAAAGAAAATGTATATATATTTATACGCAAAACTGGTTTATTGTATATAAGATTTGCAAATAAAGCACCGTTTTCATCCAGTGAGTCAAAGAGAACAAAATCACTTCCTGATAAATTGGCACCAAATATCAAAATAAAAAATGCAATGTGCTGCATTAGAAGCCACAGTAGGCCTTTTTTTCCCTTACATAATATATAATTATATAAAGATGATGAAACACAGTGAATGCACAGTGGCTTTTAGAGGCATGAGACATCTTATTGGTAGCACAGATGCTTAAGACTGGGACTTTTTTTGTTTTGTTTTTAAGACTGGGACTTTGACGATGGACTTTGGCTTAGGAATTGTAATGACCAAACATTGCAGATGTTGTCAAATGTTCTCAGCTCTCTGGTTTATTCATTAATGCTGTCACACGCACCCATTTTTGTTGTCACATTATCCGTTAAAACAAAATCACATGACTTTTTTGATGTGCATTCTGAAATTTATTCAGTACATTTTTCCATTGTAGTTTATGCACATTTTTTCTTATAGGATAAAAGGTTTATCCTATTCAGTTGTGAGCTTACATTTTTTGTATGCAGATTTTCAAAATTTATGTGCATCTTGGCATTTCCATTAGGCATTTTTTAATGTGATATTCCAAAATGCGCAAAAAAGGTGGATGGAAACATAGCTATTTACTCACCCACAAACCTTGAATTTCCTTTAAGTGGTTAAAAAAAGAGATTTATTACCATACAGCCCAAGACCGTTTACTTACTGAGGCTAAGCAGGGCTGTGCCTGGTCATTACCTAGATGGTAGACCACATGGGAAAACTAGGTTTGTGTTGGAAGTGATGTTAGTGAAGCCATCAGAGGGTGCTCAACCTGCAGTCTGTGTGTGTCCTAATGCCCAGGTATAGTGAAATGAACACTTTACTGTCAGTAAGCGCTGTCTTTCAGATGAGACATTAAACCATGGCACTTATTGTAAAGATTAGGGGTGTAACCCTGGTGTCCTAGCCAAATTCCCTCGCCAATCACGGCTTCCCAATAATCCCCATCCACTAAATTGGCTCTATCACTGTCTCTCCATTCCACTTATAGCTGGTGTGTGGTGAGCGCACTGATGCCGTTGTCGTGTGGTTGCTGTTGCATCATGTTAGTGGATCATGATTATCTATACACATACACTATATAAATACACAATCTAAAATAAGGATATTTTGAAGAATGTTGAAAACCTGTAGCTGCTGGCTTTAATAGTTTTTTTCTTTTTACACTTGATGTCAATGGCTACTGGTTTCCAAAAATTTTTCCCAACCTTTAGTTTTCCTTGTGATCATCAAACTCATAAAGGTTTTCACTGCTGGAAAAATGATATTTTTGAGGAATGTTAAAAATCTGTAGCCACTGACTTTCATAGTTTTTTTTAATTTATTTTTTTTAAATTAGAGCTGCATGATCTTGGAAAAATCTGCTATATATATTATTGTGATATTATTATAATTTCACTAGATGAATCGAATAGCTCTATTTGGAAAGATTTAATTATTTTTTTCTATGCAGTGCGTTTGCATAAACCATAATAAAATACAAGCATATAGACATAAATAGAACAGAGGAAAGATACGTGAAATAAACAGCACTTTAAGGTTTCTGTAAAGTGCATTCACAGCATTCAGGTGCAGAAATTGAACAGTGAAATATAAAATAACATGGTATCATCACTGTATAAATTATTTAGAAATAAAAATAATGTTATCTTTTACTCTTTAATAAATAATCTAATCCTGCGATGTGGCTATTGTGGATAAACACACTGATATTGATGCTCAAATGATATATTGTGCAGCCTTACTCTTATTGATAATCTTGATTAAGAAAAAAAGAAACTCATGAAGGTTTGAAAGCACCTAGTAGGTGAATAAATTGTGAGTAAAATTAATTTTTTGGGTAAACTATCCATTTAAATCTTATTTAATGCAGATGGCCACACATTGAGAATTTTAATGAAAAATCGGTAATTGACTTAAACTGTGAATGATGAGCAACAATCAACACTTACAGTTTGTCATAATTGGAGCCCTAATACTGCAGTCTTTCACCCACATCATCTCTCTCTCTCTCTCTCTCTCTCTCTCTCTGTTTTGACTTGAAGCTGGAGTGAAGACAGCTTGTGCCTTTCTTCAGAGGAGATGCATTTTCTCGTTTCGCAGCACATTTTCATTGCGTATGTGTGTCTAGCTGGTTCAGGGTTGGCAGACGTGACTTGTCCATAGCGCTTTCATCTGCGGCTGTGCCACCCTGAAGTGTTTACTCACACTGTGCTCTTGATTGATTTTTCTCTCTTTCTCTCTCTGTCCTCACGCGGTCGTCCTCTGTGTCTCAAAAGATGAGAGAAAGTAGTGATATTATCAGGGTTTAGCTTCTCCAAATGGCTTCGAATAAATCGTTTTTTATGTTCTCTCATTTTCTGCAGCCAGGCTTTGTCTAACGACGGTGCCGCGATGTAGTTCGCTTCTATCAAGCTCATTAAAACTCCTGCAGACATTGCTTTGTGTCCTCTGTTACATTAGTGCACTAGTTCGGGTGTGAGCAAACTGGCTAGGTTGAGGAGCGTGGGGTAAAATGCGTCAATGAAAAATATGCATCAACCGCCTAAATTTAGGAAACAAAACGATGTCATTTTTAGTCACATGATCATACATAAATGACTCATTGTTTACAGTGAAATATATTTGCTGTTATTGTCAGTTTTTGCTTATAATTAACAATGTTTGTATCAGTATGTTAGTCTTCATGGGTATCTATAATGCTTCGTTTCCACTGGGTGGTACAGTACAGTATGGTATGGTACAGGTCACCTTTATCAGGCTTGTGTGAAATGTTACCAATAACAAATAAAAAATACCCAAAACATACATTTAGGCCTTATTTGGGTTCATAAACGATACAAACCACATACTGTCAGTACAAACCTCTCATCTTTATTCTTCACCACACAACGTTAACTTTAAAAGTCATTCCGTCATTCTGAGATCATAATAGTCCAAAAGGCGACGATAATAACTAAACATGGCAGTTTGTTCATGTTTTAGGTTGATGAAAGAATCATTTGCTCCTTTGCTTTTTTAAGGCTTTTTATTTTTTCACGCTTCACTATGACATTTGTCCATTTCTGAAAGTCGCAGAAGCACTTCAATAATCACATACACATCATTATCATCAGCTCAGGTCTGCTATTTCAACTATAGACGCGTGGTAAGCACACACAAGCTCTCTAGAGAAAGTGCCGAACCACTCGCACTTTCAGGTGACAACAGGACACTTGGCAGGTTCTGTTCTTCTTTTTGGCTTTGTGACTATTAATCAAGACGACAACAAGGTCTGTTTGAACTCTGGTTGACCATGGCTCATTATTATATGTATATATTGTTACGGTGTAGTGTCTCGGCTGTGTATTTAAAAATGGCGGTTTCTTTGTTTTCATTCTTCTGGCTTGTGCACACGCTAATGATATTTCTCTGAAAACCAAAAGCGTTCAGTTGCCTTTTGGTACCCTTTGGTGTGCTAGGTACCCTTTGGAAAAGGTACCCAAAAAGTGGTATGGTACAGTTCACTTTTTGGTACCTTTTAACAGTGGAAATGGGCAAATAGTCTAGGCCCATACCGTACCGTACCACTCAGTGGAAAAGAGCCATAAGCTAGTGTATTCCAAAACAGTGACAAAACTTGCATTTAGAAGATATAAAAGAAATAGAGACATGTAAAGCTTGTATTGACGATTGGATCAACGTTTTATTTTCACGTCACCTCATACTTCAGTTTTTCATAAATCTTGACCAATCAAATGCTCTTTAGTATCTGACATGTCCTGGCCCCCTCAGAACGCTTCGCATTTGTTTTTTGTTTGACGCACTCAAAAAAATGACATGTTGGCGTTAATTAACTTTTTTTTGTCCACTCGTTCCACGTAACTGAGTTAAGTTACCTTTAAGAAAGAATATTTATTTTAGTGAACTTAAGTTAGTTACATAAAGGTAATGTATTGTTGTTTAGTTCAATCAATGTAACATTCATAATTTAGCTTTAATCAATGTAGTTATTTAAGTTCAGTTATTCTAAAATTTATATTGTTATGTTTAACCAAATAAAAAAACAGTTTCTGTTTCATTAAGTTTATTCAATAGCATTTTAACAGTTTTACAAATTTTCCAGCAATAAAATGATTATCAAAATCCATCTGTATCTTCACTTAATACAATAAGTTAAATACTGTATGTACAATATACTATTAAATTAATATTAATACAAGTATGAAGTAAATTAAAAACAATAAATGATTTACAAAAATAAGCTTACAAAAACATCATAAAATACACTTTTCAAATTACTTTTCATATATTACAAAAAACATTTAAAAATAATATTCTGCCATTAAATGAGTTACAAAAATATACTTAGAAAAATTAAGTCTTCTTTTGTAAACTATGCTGTACTTTCTTTACACTGAAAAAGCAGATAACTCTTCAGTTGTTCAAAGAAAGATTACCACTTTAAAGCAATGTAACACAATCAGCATTACATCATAAATTAGACCAACTATCACAGAACATGCAATAGCTAGACACATTCATCTCTCTGGGCACCATTTCTGCACATTTGCACCAGACACTTTCTTACAACCACTCCCTATATCTAAAAAAACAAACACACACACACACACACACACACACACACACACACACACACACACACAAAAAAAAACATTGTGCATGAAGTCTGCTTCACACAGGTGAGTGGGCTTGACAAACCCCATGTAGAAGCATTCTTAACAATTTTTTGTATAATTAGCACATCTTGGGTGTATTGCCTCTTCTTGTTGATTTGCTGAATGTGTCCTCAATTGTAAGTCACTTTAGACAAAAGAGTCTGATAAATGTTAATGTAACTACTGTAGATTCATAAGGTGGTGTTGCACATCAAGGTTTGTGCTTCATCATGTCCAGCATCCTAAAAATGTCAAGTAAAAAAATAAAAAGTTTACCAACAGATCAAAGGTGAAAGGAGGAAATAGTTTAAGAGGAAAAAGCAAAATGTAAAAAAAAAAGTAAAAAGTAAATGGCTTACTGTGTACTCCCTCACAAGGGCTTTGAGGATGCATTCACACCTTTTTTTCCACTGGTGATGTTCTAAACGACATGAAATGACAATTAGTATTTTACTAAATAATTAGTAGATAAAATTACTAGTAATTTTTACTGTACATCATTTTAATGCGTGTCTAGGCATCTAAAGGCATAGTACCTGGATTATCCACAGTCTCCTCAGCCAGATATGGGACAGAGGCTGAGCTGTAAACCTGAGGGAGAAAAAAGATGCGAGTGAGCAAAGATTTGTAATAATAAAATATATAGCATTTAGAATAATATATTTATAATAATAAAAATGAAAAAAAAAAACTGCAAACTACTAAACTTAAAAGTTTAAATGTGTTAGATGACCAAACAAATAAGCTTACATTAAATATGTCATCATGCTAGATGTCATCCTACTTAAGCGTCACATATGCTTGTGCCAACACCACCTTTTAATTAATATTATATTAGTTATAAAAACTGGCATTAAAACTTGACAAACTGCTTGACACTCATTTAAAATTAGACTATTTCTTACTACCAACGTTTGCAACTTTATTTTGGGGTTAATATATACCAAGTATAAAATTTCACAGGAATGCAAAAAAACTAGAAATTAATCTGCCTTTAATGTGAAAAAGACACAGGAAACATGACAATTTCATAACAGTACTATACACAAACACAACATAGTATTACAAGGAAGTTCATTAGTGATTCAAATGTTGTCACAGCCTCAGTATGAATACATACAAAGTAAAAAAAAATCTCACCTGCGTCCACATTAAGAAAAGCTTTCTGTGCACGTTCTCAATTTGTACTGTAATCTTCATCTTTTGATTCCCATAATATGGCGCCGAGCTGAGAGTGATCGTTGTGGTTTGAATCTTCTTACTTCCTGTGTTGTTTTGAAACTGCGCATGTGCAGATATTACTCCACCTATTGACCAAAATGCAGTACTGCAGAAGCAACACAACTCCCTTTCATTCATGTTAATTAAGCAAGCTGTTTAAATGTGAAAACTTACTTTTTCTAATTTTTTCCAACATAACACTTTTATTTTTAGTACACAAACATAAGCAAATTGTTTAATTTAAACATAGTTATATTCTTTGGACCAACAAAAGCCAAAATTCATTTTTTTGAGTGCGCGCTTGAGCTCAACCACTCTAACTGACAGAGCTGTGATGAAACAAAAAAATGCTATTGGCTATTGGCATTTTTAAAAGGGGAGGAGCTACTCTATGTCCCACCCTCTGCTCGTTTTTCAGTTAAGATTTATGTCAAAAATTGAATAAAAATTGCACATTTTAAAGGAGTTCACGATACCTTTAAACAAGAAATTTCAATACTAAGTAGTACAATTAGGATTTCTATGTAAAATGTATTTAATTATCATTAATATATTAAATAATGTCAATATATTTTAATATTTTAGTTTGTAAAATGTGTGTGTTTTTATATGGTAAGATATAAAGTCTTTTGCCTTCCTAATGTTCTGTGGCAGGTGAATGTACATTTTTGTAAATGTAAATTATTTGGCCAAAAATGAAAGATATTCAACAAACTATTTGCCCACATTTGTTTTATGTGACTTAACATATGACAACTTTGATTATAAATATAGGAATTTTATTATTAAAAGTTTTATTATCATTTCAAAATGTAAAAAATAAAATAAAAAAAACATAAAAAAACAATTGCATTAAAATCTAAAACTTTTTACAGCTTGTCAGTGGAAAAGTTTGCAAGGTTGTGCATTTGTCAGTTGATTTATTTTCCTCATTTTCATTAATCTTTGCAGTGTAAATCATTCAAGCAATCTCCCAAGATTTAACTTGTAGACAGGCTCTTCCAATTTCAGTTTCACTTATTTAGGTATATAGGTGTTATCTAAGTTCTCCTTTCCATAAGGGCATGTTTCAAAGAAGCGGCACAGATTTCCCGCTCTCTCCTGCTCAGTCTATTAGCACAGCTTCTCTATTCCTGCAGGTTTCTGAGTTATCATCATGTTTCAGAGTGTATTGCGTGTTTGCACAATGCACTGACAGTAAAGTTCTCGTTCTGTCCCTCCGCCGGCAGACCGCAGTCAGCCACAAACGAAGAGCTGTCCTCAGACCTGTGATAAGGGAAGGGCTCTGGCGCTGCAGAGCTGTGTGGGTGTGCTTCTGTCTGGGTTCCTCTTACTTCAGCTTTCTGTGGCTGCAGAGGAGCAGGTTCACATGAACAGCGAACAAAGAGTGGAGCATAAGCAGTGAATGAATACTGAAAATACCTTATGTAATCACTGTAAGTAAAAATACATTATCCTTATAATTAGGGGAATTTACCTGGGATGCAACATTATATTTGCAGTCTATGCTTATACATGCAACTGTTTTTAAGAAGTCATGTTATGCTTTTTAGGCTGTAGTGCATAATGTTGCTGTTCATACTTGAAAAAGCTACTCCAATGTGAGATTTTTAGTGGTGCTTTTTTCAGCACTACCTCAAACACCTCGTCTGTGGTTGTGAGTTTTCATACAGGGATGCACGTTATAGTATTCTTAATTTTAATAAATTAAATGCCACAAAAGTGAGTTTTTCCTTAAAACAAGTTTTAATTACCTCACTGGCAAATTTTTTTGCTAGTTTTAAGGAAAAACTCACTTACTTTTGGTTTGCTATTTCTCAAAATAAGACAATATGTTTTGCTTGTCTAGAAAATGCTTCTTGATTTAAGAAGTTTTAGATATTTGGACTAGAATCGAGACAAAAAATCTAAGTTAGAAAGGCATTTTTAAAATCTATTTAGTAATATAGTATTGCGTTGGGGCTGCACGGTGGCTCAGTGGTTGGCACTGTCGCCAAGCAGCAAATAGGTTGCTAGTTCAAGTTCCGACTGGGCCAGTTGGCATTTCTGGGTGAAGTTTGTATGTTCTCTGTGTTTGCGTGGGTTTTTTTCGGGGTGCTCTGGTTTCCCCCACAGTTCAAAGACATGTGCTATAGGTGAATTGAAGAGACTAAATTGGCCATAGTGTATGTGTGTGTGTGTGTGTGTGTGTGTGTGTGTGTGTTTGTGTGTGTGAATGAGTGTGTATGGATGTTTCCCCGTACTGGGTTGTGGCTGTAAGAGCATCCAGGCATCCGCTGTGTAAAACATATGCTTGAATAATTGGTGGCTCATTCCGCTGTGGAGACCCCTAATAAATAATAGTCTAAGCCAAAAGAATGAATGACTGATTGAATGAATAAGTATTGTGTTGTTGTCTTATCTAGGAGTAGTTCTTTAGAACTAATATACTGACACACATGTAACTTCTTCTTTCTGTTTATAGTCACACACATTTAAGTTGTTTGTGTATTTGTGAATTGTTCTTGGATGTAAATGTGTTTCATCTTATTCCACTGTTATTTTTTACTTTTTAAAAAAGGGATTATATTCACTTTCATTCATTCATTCATTCTCCTTTAGCCTAATCCCTTATTTATTATGGGTTGTGACAGCGGAATGAACTGCCAATTATTCCAGCATATGTTGTAAGCAGTAGATGCCTTTCTGGGAAACACCCATACACACTAGCATTTGCACACACTCATACACTACAGCCAATTTAATATACGGCATGTCTTTGGACTGTGGAGGAAACCGGAGCATCTAGAGGAAACCTACACAAACACGGGGAGAATATGCAAACTCCACACAGAAATGCCAACCAGCCCAGCCGGGACTCGAACCAGTGACCTTCATGCTGTGATGTGACAGTTCTAACCTTTGAGTCACAACGCCACCTTGTTCAGTTTCCATATAAAAATAATTACTTACTCCATCTCTGAAATGATTTTCTATTTTGTGCTGATGTCTCACACCCCTCTTACTTTGTAAAAGCATTCCATCAATATATTTTTCAGTTGTCAGTATGCCAAGAACACAAAACAATTAATTTCAATTTCAAGTTAATATAGGCATCATAATGTACACCAGCAGTGTCCAAACACAGTCCTGGTGGGCCGGTGTCCTGCGTATTTTAGTTTCAACCCCAATTAAACACACCTGAACTATTTAGTCAATCTCTTTCTAATAGCAAGTTCAGACTGCATGATTTTAGCCATGACAGGTTTTGAGAAATCGCAGACAAATGGCTGAAATCACAGGCAAATTGATGCTTGTTCACGCAAGTAACAATTACACAGTATGAACTATCAAAGAAGCGATCTGAAAGAATCGCCAACGAGTCGCCGATGCCCGTGAGATATTTGGCATGCTAAATATCTGGAGCTGTCTGCGATTCAAATCATGGCGTTTGAAATTAGTTTTGACTGAAAATACCATCTTGCAGTGTAAACAAAGCAGCGACAAAACGCTAGCCCAGATAGTCATGCAGTGTGAAAACATCTGTGACACGACTACTTTGAAAATCATGCAGTCTGAACTCAGCATTAGAATGCCGGAAACTTCCAGGTGGTGTTGAAGAAAGTTGGAGCTAAACTATGCAGGACACTGGCCCTCCAGGATAGAGTTTGGACACCCCTGATGTACACTATGAAAAAAGAGATGTGATAAAGATTACTTGTAGCAGCGTTTTTAGTATGTAGTATTTTATAATAGTAGTTTTTAGAATATCACATTTGAGTGTTAAGCGACATTAAATTACTTGTAAAAATGATCTCTCCCTTAAAATTTTTAGTTGAATCAAATGAATTTATCTCAACTTGTCAGTCATAAAATATTATGTTAAAAATGTAATTAAACCCTGATTTACTTCTTAAATTTAGTTAAAGTAACTGTTGAAATTGCGAAATTACATCTATTTTCTTGTTAAATACTATGATATGGAAATAAGTAATAGTGCAGCATGGTGGCTCAGTAGTTAAAACTGTTGCCTCACAGCTGGTTCGAGTCCCAGCTGGGTCAGGAGGCATTTCTGTGTGGAGTTTGAACACGTTTTCCTCGTATTTGCGTGGGTTTCCTTTGGTGCTCCGGTTTCTCCCACAGTCCAAAGAAATGGGCTGTAAGTTCCACTGTGGTGAGCCTAAATAAGGGGCTAAGCCAAAGGAAAATGAATTAATGAAAAATAAATAATATAAAAAATGGCGTGTGGATGACATTTCTTAATGAAAAAGTACAGTAAATCTCACTACAGGCCCTTATATATTTTAAGTTGCTTTTCATTCTTTGTTTTGGGGTAAAAATAAGTTTGATGCATCTTAGAATTGGCCTATCAGACCCTTTAAAGTAGTTTTAATTTATGCTTTCAAACAAACATGCTTTTACAGTGGCAACATGATTGTGCATTAGTGCTATTGACTGTAAATTAGCAGCCCACATCAATCTCTCTACAGCAGAGAGCAGGTATAAAGTCATGCTACCTGAGGGCTGATAGAAGAACAGTCTTTGAGCAGACACTGCGGGTGCTGTTTGTTCCTTTGACTCATCCAAATGATGGATGCTGAAATCCCGAGCGCACTTCTCTAACATCGAGTCACATGGTGTCAAGGTTTAGCGAAACACTTTGAAGTGCTTGCTAGCGTCGAGTCAGGAGTAGGGCTGACCTTTGGATCTGTGCAGAGGTAATTTCCCTCCTACTTTGTCTCCATGGCAACTCACCTCCTGATGAGGTCATCTCCCTTATGCACATGCTCGTTCACGTCTCTCCCCTGAGTCTCATCTTACAGTGAGCCTGGAGAATTAATTCAAATGTCAGGCGAGATTTGTTTTGGAGTGCTCGCTTCCTTGTTAACATTTTGTGCATGTCTCAGTGCAGGAACACAAACTGGCCGTGAGGGCCCAAGAGTCTCTGTTTTTGCACAGACGGTGAGTCAGCTGCTTCTCCAAGTACACTCATCTGATTTTGGGAGTTGACTGACTCCTTGGTGATACGCCTGT